TAATCAACCTAGTCCCGTCCTACAACAAAGGTTAGATGCGGCAGTCAAACTCTACCAAGCAAAAAAAGTAGGTCAATTGATGGTATCTGGCGACAACCAAAACCAAAAAGAAGCCGACGAAATGGCCAATTATCTTGTTCGCGAAGGTATTCCTGCTCACCTTATCAAAATCGATCGGCAAGGTGACAGCACATTAACCACTTGTAAACATCTTCAAAACTTTCGTATAGAGCAAAGCATCATCATCAGCCAATCCTTCCATTTGCCACGCACATTGATGTTTTGTGAGCGTGCAGGGCTGAATGTCACAGGATTAGCCGCAGACAGTGTTGCTCCGATGCCCAATCACCTTGATGGATGGCAAACTTTTCAAATTCGCATCGGTCGTTTTTTTCGTGAAACCGCTTTGATGTGGGCATACTGGCTCCATATTTATCGATAAAGAAGCCAGATAAATTCGATTCTGCGAGCAAAGCACTAAGAGATTGGCACGCAGAGATCGAGGCATATCATATGGATGGCCGAGAAAAGCAAGTACCGCGCCCAACAACGAGATTTGCCGAAAAATTGAATTCATCCGTGTTTCCATAAACTTTCAAACTTAACCGCTTTAGGGCTGTGGCTGTCTCGCAAATTATTCCAATCCAAATAGGATGACCACGCGAAACGATGACGAAGACATTCCTGTTGTATGGTTAAGAGGCGTGACAAATTGCACGTTTGACTTAGAATTGGAATTAGCATGAACGTTAGACAGGTGGTTATAACGGGGCCGTACTTGTAAAAAGAAAACTTGGATTTCTTCAAGAAATACGATATACTATGACCTATCTCTCTTGACAAGCACAAACCCGTCATTTTATGTTTAATAACACCTACCCTTCAACAAACAAGATGACCTCGTCATCTCGTGGGTTATGGTTGTCAACACATTGGGCGACGGCACTGTCTCTGCGCTAAGCGCAGTATCCTCCATTTTCTCCTCGATAATTCTTTTTGACTTGCGTGAATTTACACAAGACGCAAATCATCATTTTCCCTTACAATACTCAATTACCCTACTTCTTATGTAGGTCATGAAGGATTTTATTATGTCAAGCAACATCAGTACCTTACCAGATCGCTTAATCATCTTTGATACGACATTACGAGATGGCGAACAGTCTCCTGGCGCATCCATGACCAAAGATGAGAAAATGCGCATTGCCAAACAATTAGAACGCTTACGCGTTGATGTGATAGAAGCGGGTTTTGCTGCCGCATCTAATGGGGATTTCGATGCAATTCATAGCATCGCTCAGGCGATTAAAGATAGTACCGTTTGCTCATTAGCTAGAGCCAATGAGTTTGATATTACACGTTCTGCACAAGCTTTACAGCCAGCAAGTCGTAATCGAATTCACACCTTCATTGCAACGTCAAATTTGCACATGGAAAAAAAACTCCGCATGACACCGGATGAAGTCTTTGAGCAAGCCAAAAAATCAGTTCGTTTGGCGCGTAGCTTAGTCGCTGAGGTCGAATTTTCTGCAGAAGATGCTAGTCGCTCTGATATGGATTTTTTATGCCGTGTGATTGAAGCTGTCATTGCCGAAGGAGCAAGCACGATTAACATTCCCGACACCGTAGGTTATGCTGTGCCCGAACAATATGCTAATCTTATCAGAACATTACGCGAACGTATTCCGAACTCTGACAAAGCCATTTGGAGCGTCCATTGCCACAATGACCTAGGAATGGGGGTTGCCAATTCTTTGGCGGCCGTCAAAATAGGTGGCGCCCGCCAAATTGAATGTACGATCAATGGATTAGGCGAGAGGGCTGGCAACACATCACTTGAGGAAGTTGTCATGGCCATCAAAACACGCCAAGATTACTTCAATGTTAACGTCGGCATAGATACAGCTCAGATTGTCCCTAGCTCTAAGCTCATCTCACAAATTACAGGATTTGTTGTTCAACCGAATAAAGCGATTGTCGGTGCAAATGCGTTTGCTCACGCTTCTGGCATTCATCAAGATGGAATTTTAAAGGCCCGTGATACTTATGAAATTATGCGTGCTGAAGATGTCGGCTGGAGCGCTAATAAAATTGTTCTTGGTAAGTTGTCAGGTAGGAATGCCTTTAAGCTAAGAACTCAAGAACTTGGTATTGAGCTAAGCGGTGAAGCGGCACTTAATGAAGCTTTTGTCAGGTTTAAAGACTTGGCAGACAAGAAGTCAGAAATTTATGACGAAGATATCATGGCTCTTTTTTCTGATTCATTAGAATCTAGCCAGTTTTATCAATTTGTGTCATTATCTCAACACTCTGAAACTGGCGAACAACCATCTGCCACCGTGACAATCAGCGAAGGTAATCAAGAAGTCACGACGCAAGCGCACGGTAATGGCCCTGTTGATGCAGCGATGAATGCGATTGAAAAACACGTTCAGAGCAAAGCAGAACTGATTTTGTATTCTGTCAATGCCATCACCACAGGAACTCAGTCACAAGGTGAAGTGACTGTTAGGCTTGCAAAAGGTGGGCGCATCGTCAATGGTGTTGGCACTGACCCTGACATTGTTGCTGCATCTGCCAAAGCATACTTGGCAGCACTTAACAAACTCCACTCTGAAACTGAAAAAGTCAGTGCACAAGGTATCTAATCCTAGGTCGACATTCATCCGTGAATGCCAAACTACGACATGCACAGTTGATGTCGACTTGGAATAACCACCCAAGCGCTTGTCCTATCTCGAAGAACTGGTTAAGCGTTTTTCGCCACAAGTACAACTTATTCCAATTCTAAGTCAAACGTGCAATTTGTCACCCCTCCTAGCCTTACATTTGTCATGTCTTCGTCGTCGTTTCGCTTGCACCTTCGACTTAGAAATGGAATTATTTTAACGAGCTGCGGTTCAAAATCGAGTCACGAACCATGCTTTAAACCTATAGTATGATAATCAACGAAGACGAAAAATTGCTGATGACTTCTTATTACCAAGATAATTCAAACCCAACATGACGAGGCAAATAACAATATATAAGCCAATAGATTTTAATGAGTCGGGCATATTGCTAAATGACTCAGCACCACGAGTGACCATATCCATGGTGCTTGATTTGGGAACAGGAATCGACGACAAAGCGCTCTTCTCGGTCATATATTTACCCATGGTTTGAAAAGCATACAAACCAAAATCCCAAACCGTATGAATGACGATTAGCGGAAAAACACTTCTACAAATATAAAACGCTGTTGCATACATCAAACCAGGGCCAATATTTTGAATACTCTGCCAAAGCATGACATTCTGGAAATCTGCCCAACTGGTTGAATTCTGGACATGAATCAAACCAAAAACAACGCCTGACAAAATCACTGCCCAAAACCAACCAATCTTAGGGCGAGTTGATCCTATGAGAAAACTTCTGAATAAAAGCTCTTCATTGACCCCCACGGCTATAAAAAAAGGCAAATAAGATAGAATTTCACCGATGGGCTTGGGATTTTTCAACACAAATAAGCAGACTAAAAGCGAAACGATTGCCAAAACTATACCAATCACAGATTGCCCCCAAACAGGTAGGATTCTCCACCACCAACCTAAGACAGGTTTTTGCCAGCCCATCAATTCTGGATCGTATTGCCGTGCCCTATAGATAAAAAATATTGCAAAAACAATATACAAAGGTGTTCTCAACAAAATCGGGTTATATTCATTACCGTCCAAATCTAAAGAATGAACAACGTATGCAAAAACTTTTAATCCGATGAGATATAAAACGATCAAACCTACAGCCTCTTTGATTGGCATGTTCGATTTTTCATAAAATTCTTTGGTCACAATGAAATGCTCTCCTGAAAATAAAAATTCCTCGTCATGGGCTGGTAGTGATTGGTAATAATCGCCGTAGGATAATCTGCTCAACGACTTGATATTAATATTGATCCGACCAACAATAACATCTAGGCATGTTATACTGGCAAGCGATCCCCAGAAATGTTTTTAAGCGTCATCGTAACTCTGATGTTTTGCTGTTTCGACCATCATAGCACATTGATTCATCAAAAAAATATATACGCAACGTTATGACATCAGTTCTCAAAAAGTTAGGTTGGATAATCATAGCCTTTGTGCTAGCCTTGTTGGTCAATTTCGGCGCAGATATTTTATCGAATTCCGTTTTTGATCCTCTTTTTTCACACGTCACCAAGCCCTATGATATCTTACTCGATAATAGCCTAGCGATTGCAATCATTGTAGGGTTTATATACGTTATCAATCGATACCTACTGCGCAATTTGCTTCCCAATCTCCTTAACCCTAAAACATTTCTTACCGCCAAACAATGTTTATACTGGATTGCTTATGGTTTACTCCTCCCCATATCTGTCATCGTCTGTTATTTTTTAACTGGAATGGCAACCTTTTCATGGTTAGATGCCGCACCTTGGTATGTAGGCACAGCTTCGGCGATCATCGTTGCTATGTCGCCAGGCTTTGTAGAAGAGCTTGCTTGGCGATATATATTTTATGGCATCATTCGAACCCAAATATCAAATAAAGTCATCTCTTGCCTTATTGCAGGGACTGTTTTTGGTGCT